GCTCAAGTGGCTAAGGTGCCAGCCACATACACCTAAGGTGGCGGGCTCGAATCCAGCCCAGCCCGCCAAACAACAATGATGGCTGCAACCAAAAAAAATGCCAGGCGTTGTGGCAGGCGCCTGTGGTCCCAGCTACTTGGGAGGCAGAGGCAGGAAACTCGCTTAAGCCCAGGAGTTGGAGGTTGCTGTGAGCTGAGATGCCACGGCACTCTACCCAGGGGGATAGCTTGAGACTCCTGTCTCTAAAAAAAAAAACACTAGCAGGGCACTACGGTGGGTGCCTGTAATCCGAGCTATTCGGGCGGCTGAGGCAACAGGATGACTTGAGCCCAAGAGTGTGATGTTGCTGTAAGCTATGATGCTACGGCACTCTACCCAGGGCATAGAGTGATACTTTATGTCATAAATAAATAAATAAATAAATAAAATTTAAAAGTCTGGAAACATTGGTGTGGGCTTAAAAACTACTCTGGCATTCCTTCTGGCTTGTACCAGGGTCCCTCAAAAGATCACTGAGACATGGACTACTGGGTTTCCTGGGGAGCCCATCTCAAGGGCATTCATCAAATCCACTCAACAAATATTTACTGAGCACCCACTTTGTGCTGGGCACAGAGACCTGGGACACAACAGGAAATAAGAGAGACTAAATTCCCTCACTTCATGGAGCTGACATACTAGTAGAGAAATGAATGAATATATCGAATATGTGATATGCCAGATAGCGATGTGTTAAAGGTAAAAATAAAGCAGGAGGTAGACACAGAAAATTAAAGAGGGCAGAGGAGGGGCTTGAAAGTGATCAAATTCTGGATAGAGTCTAATGGACTGAATAGATTCTGATGGACTGAATTAGGTACGTGTGTCCTAGCCCACTTAAGCTTAAATCAGCAAGGACAAACTTGTAGACCAACAGAATTCTGATTTATTTATCATGACAATGAGGGGAGTATGTGCACCAGACATATACTATGGGGAGTCTCACCAAACAAAACAAAAGATAGAGTTGTTATTTGGATCGGCTCAAAGCAAATCTAAACTGTGTATAAAGAGCTCAACGTCAGGTCTGGATTTCTAAGTGAGCCCAAGGTCTTGTCTTCTGGGAAGCAATGGAATTTTAGATAGGTGTGGAATATTGTGTCTCTAACCCCCTTATCTGAAGTATACAACCTGGTGTGAGCTGGGCTGTTAATCAAGGGTGTTTTTCTGTGTCAAAGTACTTAGCTCCTCTAGGCAAAAGTGAGATATTTCATTCCTACTGTTATAATTTCAAACAGCAAAGTTTGTGATAGTCTCTGATTTTATTTTATTTATTTATTTTTGAGACAGAGTCTCACTATGTTGCCCTTGGTAGAGTCCTGTGGCTTCGCAGCTCACAGTAACCTCAAATTCTTGGATTCAAGTGATCCTCTTGCCTCAGCCTCCCAAGTAGCTGGGATTACAGGGGCCTGCCACAATGCCCCGCTATCTTTTAGAGAAGGGGTCTCACTCTGGCTCTATTTATTTATTTATTTGGAGATAGTCTTACTCAGTCACCCTTGGTACAGTGCTGTGACATCATAGCTCACAACAAACTTAAACTCCATGTGTGGCACTCTAGCAATCCTCTTGCTTCAGCTGGGACTACAAGTGCCCACTAAAATGCCCAGCTATTTTTAGAGATAGGGGTGTTGCTATTGCTCAGGCTGGTCTCGAACTCCTGAGCTCAAGTAATCCACGGTCTTGGCCTCCCAGAGTGCTAGGATTACAGGACTGAACCACCGCACCCCGCCCTGGTTTTTTTGTTTGTTTGTTTGTTTGTTTGAGATGAGTCTCACTCTGTAGCCCTGGCTAGAGTGCTACGCATGGCGTCAGCCTAGCTCATAGCAACCTCAAACTCCTGGGTTCAAGTGATCCTCCTGCCTCAGCCTCCTGGAGTAGCTGGGATTACTATAGGTGCCCGCCACCACGCCTGGCTAATTTTCTATTTTTTAGTATAGTACAGAAAGGGTTTCACTCTTTTTTTTTTTTTTTTGAGACGGAGCCTCAAGCTATCCCCATGGGTAGAGTGCCATGGCTTCACAGCTCACAGCAACCTCCAACTCCTGGGCTCAAGCGAGTCTCCTGCCTCTGCCTCCCAAGTCGCTGGGACCACAGGCGCCTGCCACAACGCCCGGCCATTTTTTGATTGCAGCCGTCATTGTTGTTTGGCGGGCCCGGGCTGGGGATTCGAACTCGCCACCTTAGGTGTATGTGGCTGGCGCCTTAGCCGCTTGAGCCACAGGCGCCGAGCCAAGGGTTTCACTCTTGATCAGATTAGTTTCTAACTCCTGAGCTCAAGGGATCCTCCCATCTCGGCCTCCCAGAGTGGTAGAACCCTGTGTGGTGAACCACCACAACCAGCCAGTTTTGGTTGTTTTGAGGTTGAGATGGCTCCAATTCGTGGAGAAGGCGAGTGGGCAGCTGCAGGCTTTTACAGAGCCTGAGCCAACCTCACTTCTTCCTCCAGAACCCTACCCCTTCTTCAGCTCGCTTTGTTCACTACCTATAGTTAACTGTCTATCCCTGCTGTTTCACATATATGCACATTTGCTTGCGCAATGTTCACTGCTGAGAAGGCCATCTCACCTTTCTAAGCCTACCTCCTAACAACCTCAAACCGGACCAGATGCAGGGGACAGCTAGATGTTGTCCCTCAGGCCCCGCCCCGTCCAAGGCCCCGCCCCCCCCAAGCCACGCCCCGCTTGCGCTCACTTGTAGAAGCTCACTGGGCGGTTGTCCGCGCCCAGTCGGCCCGCAGTGTTGGAGCAATTCGGAGCCCTGCAGTACTTGGGCATGGCTTAAGTTGACCCGGTTGAGTTTTGCCGGGTCAGCCGCGGCACTTTGGTCCTCTCCGAGCGCCTCCGAACCCTGCCCCGCCCGCGCGCTATCTGGCTGGCTCCGTGACGTAGTCGGTGCCGCGTCACGTGCCGGGTAGGAAAGTTGAGAGCGCCTGCGTACTAGTAACCCCTCTGCGCAATCACAGCTACGCCCTTATCACGTGGCCAATGGGGCAGGACTAGTACCTTATGAGTGCGCACACCCGACCCTTCGCCACCCCCATCTTCATCACATGTTGGGGGAGAGGTGGCGTCACGGCAGTTCTGAGCCTTCGCCGGGCCGGTCAGTCTGTTTCGGCTCCACCCTACGCTTACATCCGGGCTACTGCCACTGCGCAGATAAGTCTCTCTGGGTGGCAGCAAGAGGTGAGGTGAGGAGGCTGTGACCTTAGCCTCATAAAAGTTAAAACCTGTATGTCTCAATGATAAAAACGCAGACTGTACGAAAAGCTACACCAGGCTTGCTCGAACGCCCAGGAGACCAGCTGTGGCTCCACCCTTCCAGTTACCCCGCTCCGCCTCTTAGCCCCCATTGGTCATAAGCGCCGCCCGGCAGGCCCGAGATTGGCTAGGGCAGCGGTGCGTCGCGTCCAATGGGCGACGGCGCCGGCTTTCCCGCGGCTGTTCGCTATTTGAGTTGGGTAGTGGCGGCGGTTGGAGAGTGTAACGGTTGGCCGGCTCCAGCGCGACGATGGCGGCCTTAGGGCCCGGAGGCTTTGCGCGGACCGATGCGACTGAGAAGCTGCCATCAGTCATGGCGGGAGTTCCAGCGCGGAGGGGCCAGTCCTCCCCGCCCCCCGCCCCGCCACTCTGCCTGCGGCGACGGACGCGACCCCCGACGGCGCCAGAGGACACGATGCACCACAGGGTGAGGAGCTGCTAACCATGCCGTCTCCAGTCCAAGCTTCCCTGGACCGGCCCTGATTTCGTCTTCAACTCTTTGGCCCTGCCTGCCAGTCTCCCACTCCGACAGCTCTGGGTCTCCTAGGCCCCGCCCACCGGGTCGAGGCTCCTCCCACTTTTCGTCTCCTCTCTTTTCTGTCCATTCTGGGCTCCAACCTCAGCTTTGGACTTTCCCGGGTTCCTCCCTGGTTCCC